AATGGTACTGACCTTAATGGGTGTTGGACTCAGTTTGCTTCCGGTAAGAGGCCACAGGGACGGGTACAGTTTGTCCAGTTCGGCCAAACGGTCCAAGTGGTCCAACCAGGAGCGGTGGGGGTCGTATTTGTCGGCAGCTGGTGGGGGCCTCTTGCTGTAGACCAAGTAGAGTGGGTAGCGCGAGAACGGGTAAGTGGTGTGGAAGATGTTGCTGGGCCACTGGCTGGGTTCGCGACCCTTGACGCGGTCGATGTGGTCTCTCCAAGCGGCATCGGCGTCAAAAGGTCTCGGTTTTGTTACGTGGTAAGCTAGTTAAAAGGGAAGAATAGGGTTCAAGACTTAAGTCTTCAATTTGGGTTAGAGCCACGATTTTTTTGTGTTGTGCTAAGATTTTTTTAAAATTTCGAAGACTTCTTTCGAGGACACACTATGGTATTGTCTAAAATTTTTAGTTTATTATCTATGATGTCGCTTAAAATGAATTAAAATTTTAATAATTTTGTTTTTTATATACAGGGTGTTTCAAAAAAAAAATGTTTCATCTCTCGTGGGGAGATTTCTCACGTAAAAATAAGATTTATTTTTCATATTAACATAGGTCCGATTCTGCTTTGTTTCGTAGCTACAGAGTGTTTAAGTCTTGGTATTTTTTCGATTTATTATAATTTTCTTCCAAGTAGTTTTAGCGTTTCGAATAAAATTTTGACGGTAAAAGTTATTATAAATGTGACATATTTTGAAGCTAAAAAAGTGTCGACGTATTAACTAGGGACGCATATCATATGATGCATATGGGTTATCACTGGAATATCTTGCTAAAAAAGCATATACGCCATTGATTTTTTCTCTTGTTAGCAAAATAGTGTAAGCAGTTTAATGCCGATTAAAAGTTGTCTCTTGATATTTTGCCGATTTCGGCCTCCTTGATGAGATAAACGCAATTTTATTAATTTGCCTTGATTCAAGTCTAATAGCAACCTTTAAAAAACTTTGATATCATTAACTTGCGAAAGTTTTAAATATGTACTCATTGATTCTTCATAAAAAATAAAAAAATTTCCTATAAACATGGGAATAGAAATATATACATAGTTTCAGAGTTACAGGATGTTAATTCTTTTTAAAATTAGGTTTTATGTAATTATTTTTTTTATTTAAAATTGCTGTTAGGTTGGACCAATAGTAATAATAAATAATAGTATTCTATAAATATAAATCTCAACAAGGAGGCCGAATTCCACAAAATATCAAGAAGTAGCTTTTAATTAGCTTTAAACGGCCTAAACAATTTTCATATCAAAAGAAAAAAGTCAGTAACGCACATGTTTTTTTTTAAATATTCCAATTATAACCCATATGCACGTCCCTGATGAGCTTATCGACACTTTTTTAGTATTAAAAGATGTAGCACTTATAGTAACATTTACCCTCAAAATTTCATTCGAATTACTAAAAGTATTTGGAAGAAAATTGTAATAAATCTAAAGATTATTAAGACTTTAACACCCTGTAGCTACAAAACAAAAAAGCATAAATCTTATTTTAGGAATCTCCCAACGAGAGATGGCACATGTTTTTTGAAACACCCTGTATAGGTATATTCTTTATACACAACTAATTATTATTTACATTTTTTTCTAGTTCTGCCGACTCAACCAATTCTTTATTTAATTTTCTTAATATTTTGATTTACTTTACTTCATTTTATTTATCTTTTCATTAATTACATTGCATAGAAGTAAATAATTCAATTGCTATTTTTAAACATTCATTGACGTCATCGAATCTCCATTTTTGACAGTTGGTTTAGAATTTTCTCTTTTTACAATTTTGTTTTTATGCGAATGTGAGTTAGTCAATTTGTGTTTTTTTTTAAATACTATACTTATTTTCAGTCTATTATCTAATTGGTTTTATTCACAGTGTATAAATCGGGTTTTCAATTGCAGGTCAGATTATTGTGAATGTTAGGAAGAGGCTTCAAAAATAGTTCTCATATTAAAAAAAGAAGAAAAAAAAAGTATTTTTAAAACTTTTCCAGTAATTACATTTGTTGCGAGAAGTAAAATAATCAATTATGAAAAACGATTAGAGTATAGTACTTGTGTTTTTGTCCTTGCATTTATGGCCTTTGTTCTTGTACTATTTATCAAAAATTATTATGATTTTTTAATTTTATTATTATCTTATTTGAGTTTTACTTAGTTGTTTCAATAGTATATTTGTATATTTTTGTTGTGTATCAAATAATTTCATTAACTTAGCTTGAGAAGTATGTTAATGTAATGTTAATGTCATCATATGGTGCATATGAATGTTTATGTAAGAGACATAATTGTCTCTTAATTAATTTGTATAATTATTAACCACTGACTGACTCAACGTAAAACAAAACCAGCAAAGCCCTGAGCCTATCCTACCTTATTTCAAATGTTAAATAAACAGAATAGCACTGAAAAATTAAGATTCAAGTAAGCCATATTAAAATCTCTCTGCGTCTCTTTAGTTTTGTTCATATATCTTTTGTTTAATCTTTCTATTGAAAGTTTGAACCATTTCTATTAAATCATAATTAAATTATAAATTAAGTAGCTAAGCTAAATATATTGCTGATAAATATAAAAGCTTTATTTCTTATTACAAAATATGATATAACTTTTGTTTGAATGTAGAGAGATGAATATATGGTTCACTGAAACTAGATCATTTCATATTATTTTAATAATTCCAGTTTATTTTTACTGCTGAATTATAATTACAACCGTCCCCAAGTACAAGATTGGACAAAATAATCCAATGCATAGAAAAACTGCACACAATTTTAGATCAAAAGCATGTATAGTACTATTACCAAGAAAGTATGTTCAAAATTAAAAAGTGATTAGAGTACTAAAATAATTATTCTAAAATTTGCAAAAATATGTATTATTAAACTTAAAGAGACTAAGAACAGTGCTTATCTAAAGCGATTGTTGTATTACTTTTATTTTAAATTGAGTAATTTGATATTCTTATATTTGTAGTATTATTAAACACAGTGGGTGGTAGCTCAAAATAAACAAAATTATTTTTGACTAGTTTCATCCACAGATATATTATAAAAGCTATGTATTATTAAACACTTATTGACTTGCATTAATAGCAGTTTATTTACATTAATAAAAACAAATTATTAAATAAATAACTTAAATTAAAAACATATAAACTTGACACAATGTATTCAAAGTTTAAAAAATATTATAATAAAGTGACGATCATAGTCCGTAAAATTATGAAAATAAAAAAAATTAAGCACATAATTTTAATTAAATAAAAGTATTATTTTTGTAATTAATACTGATTTTAAACTATTTGCAAATGAAGTAATTTGATTTATAGATAAACACAACAATAAAATCCACTGGTTTCACCACACTGTCCAAATTAAGGCTTCGAAAATTTAAAATTATAATGATATATCGTGCTGGGGCTTACCCATATTTACTTTTGCGAACCGGCCACTGACTGAAGCTGCTCGAATTGAATCGTTTACGAAAAACGAGAGAAGAGGTGCTTCTCCCACTAACTTCTAGCGCACCACGTCACAGTCTAAACTCATAAATCCGCGCGCTGGCTATTTTTTGACTAGGCGTCGTTACGCAACCGAGGCTCGCACGGCGAAGTCGAGGTACAAATTTAGATTCCAGATTATTGAAAAGCATCGGTTAGTTACACAAAACCGATATGTACGAGGGTATTTTTAAATTTGTTTTTCAGTGTCGTTTTTTATCTGAAAAATTCAGTGTACAAGGTCGTGTTGAACGGAATTTGTGTGCGCCCTTGAATTTGAGTAATTATACTGCATACGTTAAATAAAAATAAATTTGGATGCCCATAAAACTGCTACAAAATAGTTTTATTAGTTGTACTTACCAAACATTGTTAAAATCCTATACATAAAATATTTTACTTCAATATTAATTTATGGTTCAATAATACTTTTTTATTATTATTATCTCACTACTATTATTATTAATTATTACATTATATACCGGGTGCGTCTCAAAAGTGGCTTACCCCTTTTTATTTTTTTTTCTGGTAAAAAACGAAAATTGGTATGTTAGTATATAAAAAATGTCTATACATATGTGGCGTATTCATCTCTCCAAAAAAATCCTATATGGGTATTTCACCACTACACTGGAAGAAAATGTACAAAATAAAATAGTTATTTTTTGTAAACACTTCTGCGTTAAATCCAAACGGACACTACTTGTCAGAAGTTATGTTTACAGTTATACAAATTTGCCTAACAAAAAAAAATGCTTAACGTTTAGGAAAGTTTATCTATTTTCGTCGTCGGAAGCAAAAAAAAATACAAAGAATAAAGAAAAAACTATTTAAAATAATTAAATTGAACTATTTGAGAACATTATACTTTTTTAAAACAGATACGTCTACAAGAAACCGTTGACGTTCTGTTAAAATGATATTATATCAAGTTAAATTTCAAAATTAACAATTACTACCTGATAACAATTACTTAATAAGGTAAAACCAAAAGCCCCAAACTTTCTGTATGATTGTTTTTAAATTTTTCGTATGTTATGTTTATTTATGTTATGTTCTTTAAAATCGTCGCATCGAACCCCACACTTCGGTGGTAAATCGCTTCCCCTCTTCTCTAACAAACAAAAAAAAATGTTTTTTAAAATCAAAGAAGCGATTGCCATACATTACTAACATCTACAGATGCATGAGCAATACATTTATTTTAATTAGATTGAATTAAAAAAGCCTCTTTTATTTTTCTTTTAGAGGCTATCAAATAGTCGAATTTAAATATTTTAAATAGTTTTTTTTTCTTTATTCTTTGTATTTTTTTTGCTTCCGACCACGGAAAGAGATAAACTTTCCGAAACGATAAGCATTTTTTTCTTTGTTAGGCAAATTTGTATTACTGTAAGCATAACTTCTAACAAGTAGTGTCCGTTTGGGTTTAACGCAGAAGTGTTTACAAAAAATAACTATTTTATTTTGTAGATTTTCTTCCATTGCAGTTGCGAAATACCCGTATAGGATTTTTTTTGTAGAGATGTTAGTATAATATGACAAATTAATAACACCCTCGGTATTTTTTTTACTTTACTCGATAGACATACATGATATTCGATAAAATGACATATCATATGTCAACTTTTGACATTTTTGCATATGCACATGCGGTTCATAAAGACAATTTGACTCGAAATACCAAATGTGTGGTACCAAATTATTTGTAGAAATATTGTCCTGTTTAAAAAATTGAGATATGATTAAAAATATAATTTGAGTATCTTTTAACTTGCTATGACAAGGCACGAAAAATATTAGACAATCAGATCTATTTTCCAAGGCTCCTTGATTAAAATTTAACCAAAATTAAGTGTTTATAACCCCGTCAAAGCACTCTAGATTGAAATTTAAAATACGATTTTTTAAGCAAAAATGTTAAAAGTTGACAAAATATGATATGTTATTCGAATCCAAATGTCATTTTCTGTCAAAATGTCATGGAATAAAGCAGTGGCGGTTTAACCATAAGGTCAAATGGTCAATGACCCCCCAAAAAATCAGAAGAAAATTAGGAAAAACCTATTTAAATTATACTTTTTGTAAATAACTTTTTTTCATCCAAAGATATTCTAAACTATTCCCAAAAATCATCAATTTGTCCAATTTTCGCTTAAAAAGGTTTTATTTTAACCATTTTCTCTACTGCCGGTCAAAATTTCATGTTGTCCTTCGTTCCCGCTATGCTTTAAAAATAATTGAATACCTCAATCAATCCTAATTTATGTCACATACTAACATACCAAATCTTGTTTTTTTATTAAAAAAAAATTATAAGGGTGAGCCACTTTTGCAGACGCACCAGGTATACATGTTACTAATAAAACCATGCTTAAATTGTTAGTACCTAAATGGCAATTAGAGCTGGAATGAGTGAACGAAAAGCGACATTTCTTACCTCCAAGGCGATTCCTCACGAACGACTCCCTCAAAAATCCCTTCGTTTAAAACAAAATTCCACTAGTTCTTAAATTAAAAGGAAGGGGAAGGGGGTCGAATCAAAAAAGAAAACTATCGGTCATCGCCCTGGCAAATGCTGGAGCGGCACAAGTGATGTTAAGAAGCCCGGGTTAGCTATAATTATTAATTTATTATGATTTGATTAAAGCCTACTTTTTGCGAGGAGGTGCATCATTCAAATGTGCCTGC